TGGTCCTCTTACACGTTCATCTGCTACTTTATCTAAACTTCGTATTAATTTTGACGATTCCGATGATGAAAATGAAGATTCACGTCATTATTCCTATTCTAAACGAGATATAGCTGAATATCGTAATCATTATCCAAATGCACGATCAAATCCAAAAATACATGATAATTATGATTTTTATACAAATAAAATACGTTCTCATCCAGATGGTGATTTCATTGATAAAATACATAAGAACTGGTTTGGTGATCATAGAAAGTTAGAATATCATCATGGTTATATCCAATGGTTATTTCCATTACAAGAACGTGGTCTTAATATATCTGCTGAACCATTACAAAAACATGAAATCGAGTCAATTAGCAAAAATGAAAAGGCATTGGAAAGACTTTTAACATCTTATAAACTCATGTAAAATTATTCATGAATTGTATTTATAAATGAAAATTTGTTTTTTTTGTAGGCTTGATTTTTATGGTTTTGAATTAGTGGATGATAATACAGGTGAAATACGTCGTTTATCTGATGATTCTTATAAATCATGTTTTCGTAATCTCAACTCAGCATCACATAATTATTTACGTATTACTGTAAGTCGCTTCATATTCATAAAATTCATTTATATATATATGTTTTTTCTCTTCAACTTTTTGTAGCGTATATTAAAATGTTTGGGTGAATTTAAATATGAATATCTCAAATTTCCTTTTCTGACAGCAATCTTACGAGAAAGTATTACAGAAAATACATTATCAAATTGTCTTCGATCATGTAAAGATTATTGGATTGAAACATTACGTAGTCCTGATGAACGACGTGCTATTCGACAGTATGCAAGAGAATTAGTGGAATATCGAAATAAAGAAATGACACCACCTAAATCACATAGGGCTCATCGTCCACGACCGACATCGGCAGCAGCAGAGAACACTGAAAATATGTTATCATCAAAAGGCGATGATGATGATGACCATATGGAATAATAAAATTGCTATATTTGTGATAATAAACTAGAACTATTTTTTGAATATTAAATGTTTTCTTTTATCAATAAAATATAATACTTAACTAAGAATAGTGGTGCGCGGATGAATGAGAACTCACTAACAAACATACCTGCATCGACATCCAATATTCTCATATATCAGACATTAATTAAACAATTGCTGGTTTTTTAAAATAAAAGTAATTCATATTTAATTATTTCAATCATTCAAAAATATCAATATTCAATGTGAAATTAATTAAAATTTATAGAAAGATTACATATTTTGGCTTAAACTAGTTCTCTTTAGTGAATTTAACTTTTTATTTATTTATTAAAAGATGTTGCTCTGGCAGATCTGTGTTACCACTGATCCGCGCAATTTCGTC